GAGTCCAGGTGGTTGAGTATAAGATTGTTCCATCTTGTTTCCCTTTGAGGTTGCTGTAGGTGATCTGGAAGTCTGTTTTTGAGGCTTGTTTACATGTCTTCTCATTTCCACAGGGTGGGGTGCTGGTGGCACCCACAGGGCTCACCTCCTCTGCCCTGGAAACAGTGGGATAGTGGCCAGGGAGCATCCTCCTGGGCGCTGGGATTGGCTCACCTCCTCTGCCCTGGGAGCAGTGTGTTTTCTATTTCTTGTAACATTTTGAAAATCCTTATTTCATTTTCTCTCTAAAAATTCATCATCTTTGGAATTTGTAGTTTGATTATGCTGTCATTTGTATATGTGTATTCTTCCTTTCAGTTCCACTAATTTTTATATGTTGAATTTGTATCCTGAAACTTTTCTGAATTTGTTTATTAGTTCAGAAAGATTTTCTGTTGGAGTCTTTGGGTTTTTTTATGTATAAGATTGTGTCATCTATGAACAGTGACAATTTGACTTCTTCTTTTCCAATTTCGATGCCCTTCATTTATTTCTCTTACCTGATTGCTCTGGCTAGGACTTCCAGTACTGTATTGAATAAAAGAAGTAAAGGTGGGCATCTTGTTCTTGTTCCAGATCTTAGAGAGAAAGCTTTCAGCCTCATTCACTGTGATATTAGCTGTTGGCTTGTTACATATGACCTTTATTTTGTTGGGGGTAGATTCTATGCCTAATTTGTTCAGTGTTTTTATCAGGAAGGGATGTTAATTTTATCAAAAGCCTTTCACATGGTTTTTGTCCTGCATTTTGTTAATGTGGTATATCATATTTATTGATTTGCATATGTTGAACAATCCTGTATCCCTGAGTTGAATGCCACTTAATCTTAGCAAGTAATCTTTTGCTGTTAGACTCAGTTTACTAATATTTTGTTGAGGAATTTAACATTTATGTTTATCCAGGATACTAGCCTGTAAAATTCTTTTTTTTATTATGTCCTTGTCTGATTTTGGTATTAGGATAATGCTAGTCTTATAAAATGTGTTTGGGAGAATTCCCTCCTCTTCTGTTTTTTGGAATAATTTAAGAATTGGTATGAGTTTTTTAAATGTTTGGTAGAATTCAACAGGGAAACCATCTGATCCCTGGCTTTTCTTTGCTAGGAGGCTTTTTATTATTGATCCTATCTTACTTGTTCTTTTCTAATTTCTAATATGTTTTGTACTATATCCCATACCTGATATTACCTTCTACTTTATTTGGTTTGTTCTTATTAGTATATTAGATCAATAGAATAAAATAAATTTAGCAGAAACTGTGAACATTTATTGACTTTATGGCTCATTCCAACATATTTTTCTTAGAAACAAAATATTGTTTTGTGCTATAATTTAGTCATAAACTTTTTAAAGGATAACTTACAATAATTTATTCTATTTGTAACTCCCACTTATGTTGTTTCTATGTCATCCAAAAGTAATAACTTATTACTAAATAAGAAAAAACATCGGGTGAAAAAATACCTTATTTTCAGTATTTGTAAATTGGTGTTAACAGTTAAATATATGTCTACATCTCACACTAAGTTGTGAAAGAATATTTTCCAAGCCAGGAATTGTAATTTAGGAAGAACGTTAGGGGTGAGTCTTGACTCATTTGTTGGGTTTGTGATTTTCAGGGAATTGATGCTGATTTCACATCAGAAAAGCACTGAGAAGCTGCAGGAATCCCTGAGACAGAAGCTGCTGAGTGATGCTAACTGGAGGGAGGAGGTAACTGTGTGATTCTCATCAGTATGTCTCTTACTTGCTTTTTAAAAATTCTGTTAGAAGACTATTCCAGATAGATTTCTTGGCTTCTGTATATACTTTTGATTCCCACTGGAATTTCCAACACAGAACATGCTTATTATATGTGTATTTTCCAAAATATTAGCCAACATAATGAGAAATAGAAAAAGGAACAGATTGTGAAATCTTGTAAAATTAAGATGGTCCTTGGTTCTCATGCAGAAGCATAATTTTTACTTTTAAATGTTTACCTTTTTTAAAACATGTCAGGATGTGCATTTGATCACATTCTTTTTTAATTTTTATTTTTATTAGTAAATGTTTGTAGTACATAATGATTACATTCATTGTGGGGAGTTGGCATGTGTACATTTAACACATCTTCATTTTTTTCCTCCTCCTCCTCCCTCTTTAAGACAGAGTAATATTAATTCTTACAAGTTCTGTGCTTCTCTCATAAGGAGATAATGTAAGAGAGTAGAAAATTACTTATAATTATTCCTATAAAATTTTGACGTATTTATCCTGGCACAGTAAAATGAATAAATACTTAACTTGATATTATTTTTTTTAAAAGTTTGCTCTTAGAGTATGGAAAATTTGGTCTTTGGGATTTTCTATAATTTTATATTTTAGCAATGAATATGTTTTACCTTCAAAATTTTAAATACAAGTAAAGTTTTAAATTTTTAGTCCCTACCTGCTCAGTCCAGCCACAGGTCTAGTCATTGAGGTGAAGACTATAATGTCCCTACTGTACCTGCACATTAAGCCAAAGCCTTCCCCGCTACTTCTCTTTCTCAGTTTGTATCTATGTCTAGCACAGGCCTCTGCCTGTTTTGTTTTGTTTTGTTTTATGGTGCTGGTGATTAAATACAAGGCCTTCCACATGCTAGGTGAGCAGTGTGCCACTGAGCTATACCTGTGGCCTACGGTTTTCTTATTATCTAAAAAATTTTTTTTCTAGAATTGGAGCTGGCCACTGAAGTTCAGATTGTTTGGCTGAAATCCTGCCAACTTGTTTTGTTATTATCAGATTTATCTCCTTGGAAACTGGATCCTATAACTTGTAACCTCAAGCAATAACCAGTGGCCACCTTCAAACTAACAATCTCTATCAGGAAACCCAGCCCACCCTGTCATCCAACAGATCAAAACCTTAAGTATTGCTGCTGGCTCATATCAGCCCTAAATTTGTCACTTTCATCACCAGTTTTCAAATATACTCTGCCAGGAGGGAATAAAAAAACATACTGAGCCAGTACTCCCCCTTCATGAATCAATACCTCTTTTCTTGTCCCATAGGGTGTAGTCAGGCTATAATAAAAATGATCACATAAAAACAGTTCTATGTAGGTGAAAAGAAAATTTGAGAATATGAACTAAAATTGCTATAAGTGTTTTCTTACCTTGTTTTGTAGTACAAGGTTTTTCTTTTTTTTCTCCTATAGCTCCCACACCTCTTTAACCCTTTCTAATTTTTTTTTGGTACCAGGGATCGAACTTGGAACCTTGCACTTGCAAGGTAGGTGGCAGAACCACTGAGCTAAATCCCCAGCCCAACCCTTTCTAATTTTTGAGCTTATGTATCCTGAATTGGCTAGCCAGTTCTTATTCACTTCCCCATCCTTAATAATTCATGTTACAAAATTTTAAAAAATAGTCCAAAATATACTACAATGTAAAATTAGAGTCTATTTTTTAACCCTCCAATTGATAGCATTGTTTGGGCCATATGATAAAGGTCTAGTGAAATAGTCTTATACTTATTCTTCAAAGGACTGGAAATTAAAACCTTTTGGTCAGTACATAAGGGACACTGTAAATGTCCTATCTCTTGACTCGGAAATTTCTCTGATTAAATTAGCATGGATAAAGATTTGGCATTCCTTTCCTTTCCTCCCTCCTCAGTGCCTTCTCTTAGACTGATGGAGTGATCTTTCCTACCTGTGCTTCTGCAGAGGCTCTGTGTCTCCTCAGTCACACTCCACTGGGGGCTTTGAACTGCATTTCACTAGAGAAGAGGGCCTGTGCTTATGACCCCCTCTGGTGCTCCTGCTCACTGCGGCCTGCCCCGAGATGCTGCTGACACAGAGGAGATCAAGTCAGTGTTAGCATCCCTCTGCCACATGAAAGTATTTATGTTCTTGCTTTGTGCTCAGTTACTTTGACAGTGAAAATAATACTGTGTAATATTCTCAAAGCTGTTACTACTACATAGCTTTCTAATATATCACAGTTGTCTTTTGGCATATATATTTTTATAGTGTAATGGACATTTTATTTTGTTGAGAGGACATGACTTCTGGTTAATAGGTGTTATTATTTAACTAGCAGTAAATTGAGAACCAGACCAGTAAAGCCAGGGAATGGTAATTATGTCTTAGCCATGTTAGCCCTTGAGAGTATTTAAAGTTCCCTAAAAGTCGTCTCAGAAGAAAGAAGAATCACTAATATGACGTTGTCATCTCTTTTTTGGGTCACTGTGCCTTTGCGTAAGGAATGAAATGTTCCCTTTACAAATATATAATACATGTATTAGAATAAACTTCATAACTTAAATGCTTTTAATGTTTAGAAAAAGTAGATAGAAATTTGTGCTTAATTATTTTAGAGTATGTAAAAAGCACATAATAGGATCAATTGTTGCTATGCGACAAGATGGCACATTTTAAAATAACTGTATTTACTAATTGTCATGGATTTTTGTTTATTTCAAGTATTGCTTTGATCCAAAGAAAGCAAATTAATGTGCGTGTTGAGCCTTTAAAATTGGTTCCAAATGCATAGTGTTGTTACTGTTCGGTTAAAATTTTGTAATTAAAAAATATCCTTTTGGGCCGGGGATTTAGCTCAGTGGTTCCACCACCTGCCCCGCAAGCGCAAGGCCCAGAGTTCAATCCCCGGCACCAAAAAAAAAAAACCAAAAAAACCAAAAACAAAACAAAACAAATATCCTTTTACCAGACTGCTTACATAACCAATTCACATCTCTTATTAACTATCACATTTTAGTAAAGAAAAATTCCAATCAAATATTTTCTTAGATTTCCATCAAGATATTATTTTAGAATTGCACTATTGACCTCATTTTAAGTAATATATAAAACTTTTGAGAACAAAACTTTACTTCCTGGCTAGAGTAACTGCATTGATAGTGAAAATACAGGAAAATCTACCTCAAGAAATAGTAAATTAAAAAGAAAAAAATAGTAGATTCTGATTTTTAAAGGGAAGCAAAACAAATCATGTTTTCAAATGGTACAACCAAATGACCTAATAATTCCTAAAGTGGTATAAGGTACTATTAATGAAATAAAACATCGTATAAAATACAAAATTTAACAAGTATGAAGTTGTTTATATAGGTGTTATAATACCTATTTTCATTTATACATAATAAATGGCTAAGAAGAATATTTAGGGCTCACTTTAATTTTTACAATTATGTTATACAATGTTAATAACTGAATGAGTAAAATCCTCAAATTTTAGATCTGGATTCACTGCAAAGATTAGCTGATATAGACCATTAATTTAGGCTCTATTATTATGGTATTTACCACATGCTAGACTTTATGCTGAATGCTTTCTACAAATATAATTTTCATCACTATAACATTATTGCTCCCATTTTCCACATAAAAAAAAAAGTAAAATTCAGAGAAGGTAGGTAATTTGCCAAGATTACAGAGCCAGGTAATGAGCTGAGAATTAACCTCCCTGTATCTAAATACAAAGACCAAAACTTCCACATTTCTCCAAAATGTAGTAACAAGAACCAGATTTATCCTTCCACCCGAAACAAATAAAACATGGGAAAAAAGACAGAAAACAATAGTTTTAAGATATCAGACAATGAAGACCAAGAGACAAATCAGGTTGAGCCTCTTATAATTGTCATAACTTAGTACCTTGAAAGAAATTTCAGGCCATGATTCAGGGAATGGGAATTCAGGTTGAGCTTGGCAGATTTTGACTTTAGAAGACCTTGCTGAGGGTCAAGGTAGAGCAAAGTAGCTATAGTTCACAAGACAGTGTTTGAGGAAGAGAGATCCAAAGAGGAAGCATACTGAAGATCTACAAAGAATCCCCCCTTGTGTATGTGTCACATCAGTGTGTATGTTTGGCCAAAGCCAGGGAAAGGCCTACATGAGAGAGTGGTGAGAAAAATATCAAATACTCACACATGACCAGTAATAATGGCTGCTCCCACTTCAGACTGGAAAACCTGAAATTTACAGAGCACTCAGAAGTGTTTTACATCATTAGTGGGAGTAATTACCCCCAATGAAGTACTAGTTTGATCCTGCCTAACAAATTTCAAAAAAGAAGACCTAAAGTAATCTTGCTGATTCCAAGAAACTTACTGTATCCCAGAACAGATATCCAGAATATTCATAGGAAAAAAATGTCCACCATCTTGCTCACAATGTCTGACATCCAATTAAAAATTGCCAGGCATAGAAAGAAACAGGAAAATAGAACTCATAATGAATGAGGGAAAAATCAATGAATTAAAAATTAACCCAGGAAGGCTCAGATGTTAAGCTTATAATACAAAGACTTTAAAACGGTTATGATGAATATAATCCATATGTCCTAAAATTAAAGGAAAAACTGACCACATTAAGATATAGAAATATCTAAAAATGTAAACTGAACTTCTAAAGATGTTAACTCCAATGTGTGACATGAAAACTGTACTGAATTGGATTTTTTTTAAAGGAGCATCAGCAAGCTGTGATACAAAATTTAAGTGGCCTAATAAATGTGTACTGAAATTCATGAAGGACAAGAGAGAGGTGACAGAAAAAATTTGAAGAAATAATGACTGAAAATTTTATTAATTCAATAAAAACTATACACCTACATACTTAAAAAGCTCAATGAACCTCCAGCATAAGAAACTAACCACACCAACAAACATCATAATCCAGTTGCTCAAAAACAGTGATTAAAAAAATTAAAAACAGAAAAAA